TATCAAGCGTAATTAACAAGACTAAGTGCGGAAAATAGACCTACTGCGTCCAAGTGAAGCATTTCTTGTAATCGACTCAGAGTTAACCGGGGAAGCTCGTGTTGCTCGGGCTCCACAGTAAGATGCATCGCGTATATAATACACGCTGTGGCAACGTATGCAGGTAGGAATAAATTAACGCCTTCCACTATAGGAAATGACATCATTAACTGAAATAACGAACCATGAAGGATCTTCATAAAAATTTTGTTAGTCGATCCTCGAATAAGCTGCTGCAACTCAGGTCCACAGGGAATGAAACATGCCAGGGGCTGAATAAAGTCGATTGGTGTGATCATTGTCAGATCAAATCGTAACGTCAACACAATCAATAGCTCTTTTGCCTACCAAATAATAAATATTCAAGTAAGCACAATAAAAAGATGTAAGACGAAAAAATCGCAACTTACAAACAATTCCTGTTTTGTTATCGAAAAGTCGGTGTACCGCACAATCTGGTCTACAGAAACTGGAATCGTTTCCTTCAGTTTGCTGGAAATAAAAAAACAGGCTGCTCCGACTAGTTGATAATCGCGTTTGTCAGTCTCCACCAGTGACACGTAACGATCGATCAACTGAACAGTGTGCGCCAGGACCTCTGGTTCAGTATTTCGGTGCTCACATACTTCTCTCAGCCAATTTATCAGTGTCCTACGCATCCATACGGCCTGCCTCATTGGTTCTCTGCAGCAAAATGCCGGAAAGGCATGATATCGCACTTGATCATGCAACAGGTCCTGAATGATATTTTCGTTCCCGTTAAAATATGCATCAGCAATGGGCTGAGGAACAGTAGCAGGAGTTTCCTCTTCAGACTTCTCAGATAAGCCATGTTCAGCCCTTGAGTTCGCCATTGAAGCCCAAAACAGCAACAGAGGTAAACAAACCACGAGCCCTACGACGACCGGCCAAAAGAAGCAAGCACCATCGGCAATGAACCAAATTAATTAAAACAAACCACAGGTAGCTCAATAACAAACTCGAAAAGATAGTTAAACGCTTGCGTGTATTTCAATTTTAAAACAAAGACTGACTTAAAAAGGGAAAAGATCTTTCTTGCGAGGCTTTTGATGTTTTCTATTGCACAAGTTGAGTTGACTAATATCGATATCATCTTTGATATCGGCAAACAACTTACTCAGAGCACATAAAACAACTTTTGAATGATAGATACCATAGACGCAAAATGGGGGCCACAAAAATGCCCGGATATTTTGCTTTTTGCGGAATATCTTTGGGTCGTAAAATGCATCCCTCGTTGCCCTTTTGCAGAATTTAAAATATGGCCAACTTTTTCTTGTAGTTTGTGTATTGTGTCTTTACTACAAATGCCTCGTTTTAATTGGGTCTCTGTCGTTGATCGCGTCTTCGCCTAATTGTTCACTTGTTGTAATTTGCGTTTCCAGTGCATGGGCTCGCTGGAACTTTTTACAATGGGGCGTCATGATTTATTTCAAATAAGGTGTCAAAGTACTATTGCTAACAATTATCTTCTCTTGAGCCATGACTACATGAAATACATCTTTTTTCGCGTAAAGCATCTTGTTTTGCTGGTAGTTCCTCTTGACTTAGTGACTCAGAATGGCTTAAATTAGGTCTTGTAACGATTTTATATTTTCTAGCGACAAATGTGTGCTTCGTCTGAAAGGATGGGTGATGCTTTGCCTGTCCCTCTATCCTCCTCCTCGATCCTACGACCATCAGTGCTGTCAGATAGATTAAAAGTAGTTGATACCGATGTGAAAACATCAACATTTGAGCCTCTAATGAAGTCAACAAAACCACTTGTAGAAGCGCCAAAGTTTACTCCCACACGTTCTATTTCTGCTTCTGTGGAACCCACCAACGCACCTGGTTATGTTTTCGGGCAAAATATGAGTTCCCGGGTTGTAAATGCAAATGAAGGAGCCTCAGAAAACATTTGGCAGGCTGTCACATCAGATAATCATAGTGATGAGTGAGTTGAATTGCTTGGACTGTGATTTGGCAACAGTTTTTCTGTTTTCATTTCTAGTCTTAATGTAATGGCTTTGCAGGGTAGCCACGTTTAGTCAATCTTTTTTTGCGTGCTTAACGTAGTAATCAGGAAGACTCCAGTACCTCCGTGTTTACAACTCTTGCGAAGGCAGTGGCTAAACGGTCTAAGCAGATAGAGGGAGAACTCCTCGAAGACTCTGCTGTAGCTTTGGCAAGAAAGCGCAACGCCGCGCAGATTTCACTACCTTCCACCACCATTGGCGAGCAGCACGAGATTATTACGGGCGAGGAGGATGAGCGAACGGTGCTTGAGCTTACCTGCAACGCCTACGTTTTTGATCGCGACTCGAAGCAGTGGAAGGGCATAGGACAGAGCTACCTCCACTTGAATGACACCACGCTTACTGACCGCACCACTTCGCGTCTTATTATCCGTTTACAGTATACCCGACGTGTGGTGGTGAACACTCGCATCTGGTCAGAGATGCCGGTGGCCTATGTGGCGGAGAACAAGGCAGTGCGAATTGGCGCGCTGACAGTCGCCGGGAGGGGCCAGACAGACATTGAGGGCGCCATCCGCACCTACATGCTGCGCTTTACTGCCGCCGATTCGGCACGCTTTCTCTTTGAGGCACTACAAGAGCGTCGACTATCTGCGGAGAAGTTGGAGACTTTTGTCAAACGATCCCGTCTAGAGGAATCCCAGACATCTGTAGTAGCGGCAAATAATGCCACGAACGCATCCGATTTTTCACATGGTATGCCTTATCTTACCCCAAAATTTCCATTTATGAACATATATTGTGCCTAAATTTCTATCACTATATCGTCTGCTACAAGATGAAATAAATTATTTTATTGCCTATATATGTCTTGTACCGGTCGTTCTTATTGTCTCCAAATTCTTCTAATTCCGGTTAAGTTTTATGCTGGTAAAAATGATGAAGTAGAATTTCCTTAACTCACGATTTCCTTATATACGTTAACGATAAGTTTGCAACATCCACTCGTGAATCGGAAATTTTATTTCTTAAAATATATTGCTCTTTTCCCCTTTTCAAGGCGAATCTGGTGCCCTCCATGAGAAGGAGTCAAATTCAAGCGAACACGAGGAAGCCACGACGCTGGACGGTGGTAGTGTGACGAAGTCCATTACAGTGACAGCGATGTCTTTCTTATGTCGCCGCGTTCGTCTCTATGCGGCCTCTGGTACGCTGACTGAGGAGGTGGAATTGGAGGACGGAGATGGGAAGATGGCAGTAGTGAACATCACAGACTTCCCACAGAGTGGCGCCTCCGTACTTGAGGTGAATGCACCCGACAGAGGTGCGGGATCTCTGCTGACCGCGGCCATTGGCTCGCGCCTTGCCTTCTGTCGCCTCGGCGACTCCGAGGTGCATCTTTTCTGCACCACTGAGGTCTCTGACGACTCTGTCGAGGGTGGCGGCGTCGTCGACGTTGCAAGGTTGGATAAGAGCTGCCGCTTACAACTGGCCTCCTCATCCGAAGCCGAGCGTCTTTACCGCTCTATCTTGCTACGTGTCGTGCGCCTCTTCATGGAAACCTCCGGCATGATCAGGGAACGCAGGGGTAAGTGGTCTCTTTAATCAATTCCTAAGCTAATAAATTAGTCCCTGGGTCAATTTTCCTCCGAAATTCTTTGCTACTTTATCCCCCTACCTAAATCCAGCTGCGTTATTCTCATTTAGTTCTGGTTGATTGTCCTTGCATTTTCGTTTTTTTAGAATTGAACGACGATCAAACATCTGAAAATGCATCAAGCGCCTGATTTAAAATATATGATTGTCTGGACCTCTTCATACGAGGGCATTGTGTATGATGCCAAGTTTATGTACTCTATGCATAGAAATTTGGAAAGTGTAATTTCCCGCTTTGTTGTGGTAGTTTGAGAACTTACATGGATATTTTCCCATTACTGGTCTTCACTTTTCATTTGCAGTCATGCTTTTTCTTGAGCAAGCGCAACCAGTTGTTGCTTTGAAAGATTGATTGCATTTGATGGCCTTATTTGAGATATCGCACCCCTTTTTCCGGATAAAATTACCTTTGTGAGATTGGAATTCTTGTGCGTTTTGGCTCTCACTAGTCGCGATATATGCGATTGCTGAATGGCCTCTCATTGGAGAATGCATCAGAGGCACTGAATCTTAGAAATGAGGTGCTTATGTAAACGATGGATGTGTATTCACTTCTCAACTTATAATAAGTGGGGGGATATCGTGCACAATTTCGGCGCCTACCACATGGGTAGGGTTTGTTACCCGATTTATTGTGCAGGCAGTAGTTTCTAATTTTGAGTGACCATATATGTGTTGGCATTTCGCGTTTGTAGTCTTTTTTTGCAAATGTCAGATTGTCTTTTCGTTTTCTCAATGTATTTTAAGGCCTTCGCAAGAGTATCCTAAGACACTTTAGTTTAATAAGTAGTTAACAGCAAGGGGTTTGTTTTCGTGTGATCTGTGGAAAACTTAGGGGATTCCATTGTTGCGCTGACAACCCATTTCACACTTCATTTGCGATGGGCTATTGCATCTCAATTACTGAAGGCGTCTGCCTAGTGTAGTGGAGCTGTAACCATGAACAAGTGCCTTTCTCATCATTGTCGTGGAGGTGAACTTCGTAGGGTGACGGTGAATGCGTCGAAATGGACAGACTAGGGGCGCGACGAAACAAAAGGAGCCCTAAGTTAGTGCAACTACCCGTAAATATGACCAATTTTCGGGTGAATTCTGATAAACCAAGGTTTTCATCCATGCTGTGGACATGATTCCCTTCGATATTCACATAAGTATGATGTGGAGCACAACGATTTGAGGACTGCTATTCAGGGCTCTTCCATGTTCAAATTGATATTCACTGATAAGAGAGCTATAGTAACTGGTTTTGGATTATGTAGATTAAACCTGAACAAACCGATAGTTTAGTTTGTGTAAAAAATAAAGGATATGTCAATGGCACCATTCATAAGCATTCGTCGGTGTAAAGTTCGCGGAGTTTGCTATTGTGGGACTGTCAGGTAGAGCATTTGCTGAATTCTTCATCGAAGCAGATGTTAAAGAATGCTCTAGACTTGTTTGAGAGCAATCTCCTCTTTAGCCTAGGCTAAATGGTAAAACTAGTCGACACAAATGGAGTCTGTGTCTGGTCAAAAAACAATAACATGGTGGTGCAAGTTGTGACATTTAGCTACTTTTTTACGTATCAAAAGGTTACTAACAAATTGGAAAATAGGAAATCTTGTAAGGTGCACCAGAGAGTTTTTTTTCCATATGTAATTAGAACTCTTCGTCTTCTGATGCATTCAAAAAGGATCATAAAATACAGCAACCAACTGCTGGGAAGGTATACAAAAGGCCAGTTTAACAACTTGGCGCATGGAATATCCAGAAAACCAAATAACTATGTAGAAAAAACACAGCAACGACACCGCCCTGGCTTATGTTAGGTCATTTAAGTCCCACTGAACCTGAGACCTAATAAGGTTTACCAAGATAGGAATTACGGCCTCTGCAGAGCATTTGGAAGTGTTGCGCCCCAGCTCTTCTCTCAAGTCGGATTTAGCCATACCATTACAGAAGATCTGTCACCAACATACAGAAGGCCTAGAAAACCATTAGCATAGCCGGGTGCCATGCCGTGGAGCGGAAGCACAGCCTACGAGGACTCGAGTGCAAGCCTAGTTGAACAAAATAACAAATTATTTCATACACCTTAAGACGCAGAAAGTAAATCGGAAGGTTGTGTACTGAATCCACTTTCCAATAATTACCGATCATAATGAAAAGCCCTTCCTGTTGCACATAAGAACAATCTTGTCAAAGAAACACTTAGATCAAATGTCTAATTTGGTCTCGGCATGTCACTTGACCCATGCACAGTTTTGCTGACCAATATTTTGATTAAATGCACGATTATCTAAACGGGTTCTTCGGTCCCAGTAGGTGGTACTTCTGCTTAGAGCTATTAGTCCCTCTGTTTTGATAATGAATCTTCGACTATATTAATATGGTTTGTTACAATTTCAGAGACTGCCCGGAGCGCTACCCTGGTGACAGGACCAAGCGGATCTTCTCCGAAGGGAGCAATTATCCTGGATAATTATCGAACCCATGCGCAGTAGAAGAAAGGCATCTGCGAAAACTCCTAACTAAATGGTAAACAAGTGATAAACAAGTGATACTCCCTCCACGCCAACAGTAGCTGAATGGAACCCATGTAGACGGCTGGATAGCTTTGGGATTGAGGAGTAGGTGGAGTATCGTGGTTTTTGCTAAATAGCATTCCTTTCAGGTCAATTTTTTCTTGAATAATGATTAACATACGGGACAACTAGTTACAGAACATCGTCTATTTTGAACAGTATGAAGCCAGCATAGTGTTTCCCCCTCCCCTCAACCCCTTGTACAGTTTACAAATATGATTATATTCCAGACACAACTGAATCGTTAAGACGTATCAATGAATTTAGGCTCGGGTATTTCCTCTCCTAGATGGGGATTTGTTGATTGCTGACTGTTGATCGAAGAAGAACATTGGATAGGAGGAGAGCCTAAGAAGTAAGTGAAATATGTAGAAGTCGGATACCTTGTTTAAATATACGGCTGCCTAGGAGGGGTAGATAATGCCTACGGTACGTACATCTGTTCGGCGCCATGGCCCTCCGCCAATGCTTGTGCAAGGCGTGTCCGTATAAATATACCTTTTAAAAGACAAACTGGGAAGGTTGGACCGTCCTCCTAAATGGAAGGGCGGTATTGTTCTCCGAGGAGGAGGCAAGTACAGGCTCTTCCGCAGAACTTAGATCAATTGTAAAATCTCACCACTACAATATAAGACGTCTTTCTCCAACCAGTCTTCTCCATCTCGGGGTTTGGAACTGGCAGCAGGCGGGTAAAACAGTGAAGCTACTGCGTTAGTAGACATCCGCCCCTTCTGCTTGTTAAAACCGACTCTTTCTTTGCACCAGTATGGTCCGTTTGGGCCTCAAAAGGAATGTAGGACTCGTGTAGTTTAGTTTTATCGTAAGTATTCTTCAATGTCAGTTATTTGGGCCAAGGGAATTTACATAGCATGGACAAACAAGAAATAAAGGGCAAAGTTGAACTGCATTAATACTGCTTTCTCTTTTTACCCTAGCTTTTTTGGTCAGCAAAACATATGCCAAAAAATTAGTGCGTTTCCTACTTTCAAACTCCGCATGCTTATTTCTTCTTTTACACGCTCACCATCGCGGCAACTTTAAGATTGGCTTGGTGTCTCTAGTCTCTCCCGTGGTTTTGCTTCTGAAATGCCAATTGAAGTAGCTAATGTGAGCAAGGTTGTGCTGTCGTACCAGTTTATATGCTTTTCGGCATCCGACTGCTATGCAATTCCGCATGGATTATCACCCGTTTCTTTACGTAGATGTTGTTATTCGCAGTGATTGCTTCATTTATCACGTTTATTTCTTCGGATTCCTTATGTCCCAACTTCCTCTTAGAAGTGTTCATGCATTTGCAGGAAGTTGTGAACCAGTTTTTAACACATTGCTCTGCGCTTTAAGTGGATAAACTGTATTCGACTCTAACCGTTGTAGGCTGATGCTGCTAATGGTGCTGAGGCTACCCCGGGTGGTGCTCAGTACCGCATGGACAAATGGGCAATGCTCAAAACTTTCGTATTTCGTCTTATTTTTACCTATTTCATATTCACTCTCTTTCGTCGTAATCCTGCTCCGGCTACACCTGGAAAACCAGGAGTTTCAGCCCAGTCATCGAATATTCTTATGAAGGACGAATCTCTCGATATGTTTGTCTACCTCACCGAAACACCACAGATGACTAACTACAGCGATCAATCATTGCTATTTTGGCATCTTGAAGGTCTAAGGTATGGAAATTGGGAAGATGGAGAAGCACGTGATGGCAGTTATACGAAGACAGCTATCTTGAAGGCTAGTGAAGTGAGTGTATTGTCTTGTAGCCATTGAGGCTTTTATTTACGACAAGTGGTAGTCACGTTTGTTTAACCCGTTGCAGAATTTGAAGAATAATGGTTCAATGTACATTCATGTTTACTTTGTTTTGCCTGGATTCTCTCCTGATCCAGAGTCTGAAGAGAAGTACTCCAAACAGTACACTTTTTCAGCTTCAAAAGGTGGGGAATTAGTCTTTCACAAACTTTCGTCGTTTGTTGATTTAACTGTCATATTTTTGTCGAATAAAAGAAATTACCCGTATGCGTAAACGTCGTCTTTCTCGAACAATGAATCTGTTGACCGGACACACGGAGGCACATTCGGACTTGATTGCCTCCAAGGACACTCCGGTTGACGTGAAATACCTCCCTCCAATTTCGCATTGGCATCCGAACCTCACGGTTAACCTCATTGATGATCATACACCCTGGGTTCGTGAATCCGTTCCTGCCCCCATCAATGAATGTAAGTTGATTTTCCAAAATGAAAATTTCATTAGCCGTATGTTCTTACAACTGCTCCCATTACAAAAAAAAATTGGCAGCCAAAATGGGATGATCTGCTGCGAAAGGTGCATTTGACTTTATGCTCAACTATAATACTTTTGTGTATTTAAGATATTAAGTGGTACGAGCCAACGAACCAGTACTACCCCGCAGTGTATATAAACGATTTTTGGAATCTTAATGAGGAGTACATGCCAGTGAATAAAACCACACCGGAGCTCACCTTTCGTCTCACGGTTGCGCCTATGTCACTTTTCAAATGGCAACTCTACCTCTCTCAAAGCATGAGAAAGTCCTGGTTCCCGGATCTTCTCGGCCAAACAGAGGATGACAAATTCAACGAAGACGAAGATCAGGACACTATGAAAGTATGCCAGCTACCGTCATACTCCTCATAATTTATAAATCCTTCGGTCTTCTTTATTTTTTTCCCAGAAAACATTTTTGGAGACAAACCCGTACCTTCTTACGCTCACCGTTGTGGTGTCCGTTATCCACTCTATCTTCGAGATGCTTGCCTTTAAAAATGGTAAGAGTTCATTGAATTCATTTTAGTCATTGGAATCTTGAAACCAAGTCTTCGCTTATCTGAGGGCATGAACCTTTGATCCCGTTTAGTATGAATGTGTTTTCTACCTCTTATATAATTTTACTTTATGGGCATGTTTCCTTAATGTACTAAGCTAGTGCACGTAATATTGTCTCTCATTCTGAAGCCAGAAACCGATTTTCATGCCAAGGAGTTGGATATTACGTAGTCAGTAACCTTTTAAGTGTGCTTACATGACACTCAATCACAATTACAATCTAGACGGAATTCTATGGTCTGCCATTCTGAATAAGTCTGGAGTTAATTTCAACAGTCTTTTCTTACCGCGTCCCCTATCAGGCGGAAGTAGTCCCACCACAATAGTAAAGTTGACACGACAAATTCGCACTTTATGATCCATTGCGGAATTAGTGGGAAGTACAGTCATAGAAATAAGGCATTTCACGGTGATATGAAGCACCTCGATTACGTCACATGTGTAACTACCACAATGCTCTTTACGACAATTATCGATTATGCTTGACATCTTACCACGACTTATGTTTCGTACATTTTGTAGTTTAAAACTACTAATATCTTATGCCGATCTTAATCGCCAGGATTTAGTTGTTTTCATGGCATAAACACCATTCAAACTAGCACTTTAGATCCGTATATGCCCATCCCCTCCTGGCATTAGGACGCGATAGCCTGCTCTACCTTATCAACTGTCACCTTAAAATTCCCACTTTTCTACCTGTTTAATCTTAGGCTTATCACTTTTATCAGAAGTGAAAATTTCATACATTACTCAGTTTCATTACCACGGGGAAAAAGAGATGAGTAGTCATTTTAACTCTGCTTGATAAAGATATTCAATTCTGGCGATCGCGCGAATCATTCGAAGGTTTATCACTGCGTTCGGTTCTCTTCAACATCGTCCAGTCTGTGATTGTGGTTCTCTACGTTCTGGACAATGATACAAATTTCGTTGTTCGAATATCCGTTTGCATTGGACTGGCCATTGAGATTTGGAAAATTCACAAGGTCTTCAAGATTCGAGTAAGGCTTCGTTGCCTAATACCATTATCTCACTCTTACCCCCTTTGTTTAAATAATGTTAGTAACGACTTTTTTATGGAATTTAAACAATTCCGAAGTGGTTGTTGTAGTAGGTAAGTCTTCTGTGAAACTTACGATTTTCGAATTTGTCAAAATGCTTTGGAATTATTCACATTGTGTGCACGTGTATAACCCTCAGCAGTATTATTTTCATATGGAAGTCGTTTTATTAGAAGGCTGACTTCATTAGTACATCTCGATCATATCATCAAATGGCTGCGATGTAAATCGAATAGATAACATCTGTCACTTCATTTCTAGCACTTCAATATTTGACGATATCTGGTTGATTTAACCTATTTGTATCGGCCTTAACATCTTATTGCGAGGATTCAATTAAACGATCGCATTCCAAGTCTCCTGAAATTGTAGTAAACTAGAGTAGTATGGAAGAGGATGCATTACCGGCGTAGAGAGGAGCTAGAAGGCTATTGACACGGCTTGGGAGCCATGCTGCAGAGCAGAAGCGCAGCCTGTGGGACTACAGCTACGCACATCGTTAAACAAAAGATCAACTCACTACAAAATGTTTCGTCTACTTTTTCAGTTTGACCAAAATAGAAAGTTATTTTTCATTCTGCCTCGTCCCTCCTTTGAATGGCAGTCCAGCTACGTGGAGTCTGAAACTAAGGCTTATGATCAGGTCTGTTCCTACTAATATTTTTTTAGTACCGATATCATAGGGCATTTCCTATACCAAATATTCCATTTATCTTAGATGGCATTTAAGTATCTTTCCTGGGTTCTATTTCCTCTCTTGATCGCCTATGCCGGTTACTCTCTTGTCTACGAGGAGCATCGTGGTTGGTACTCATGGGTTCTTTCAATGCTTTATGGCTTCTTCCTCACATTCAGTAAGTTTAGTCTCACTTATGCACTTTAATCTCTTAAAGGCATTTTTTGCCTAAAATGCTTTTGCTTATTTTAATGCAACACGATGAATAACTGCAGGGTATTTTGCATTCTCTTACGGAATCACTCATCCCTGAATGCACTTCCAAGTGAATGTCTCTCAGATGCGTTCATGGACATTTGCTGTGTGGGAAGTTTCACCAGGCACTAAAAATTTCCCGTATAAATGTCACGCTTTGCGTGATGTTTGTCTAAATTTAATTTGTTGATGGCCCATCATGCAGTTAAACTGAGAGCTAGAATTCATTTTTACATTGCTACATCATTCGCATCGGAGCTAGAAGCTACGTAAATCGACTGCATTTTAGCGAAATGTATTTTATTTTATAGTGAGGTAAAATGCAGTTCTTCTTAGCCATCCTTTATTGTCCCCAGAACCCTTTGTGCTATTTTCTTCATGCCATTCGTCATGGTCGACTAACGTCTGCATTAAATTATTTTTTGTTCATCTCTTTTTATTCGCAATTGTGCCTGTTGTACGGCGCGAAACTGTTTGTGAGCCTTGCGTTTTTTCTGCTCACTAGGTTTTATTGCTATGACGCCTCAACTCTTCATCAATTACAAGCTCAAATCAGTGGCCCACTTGCCTTGGCGCATGTTAACTTACAAGGCGCTCAATACTTTCATTGACGATCTCTTTGCTTTTGTTATTAAAACGCCCACGCTCTATCGCATCGGCTGCTTCCGTGATGGTACGTGCTTTTTAAACCTTTTGACATTTCCTCTGTGTCTAACACTTCCTATTTTTTCCCGATAAGAATAGCTATATACTCGTCTGGTTGGTAGAATTGTGTTGGTCTAGCACCAATCATTTGGGTTTATCACTGTCGTACGGGAACCTTCTAATGGAAGTACATAAAATTTATGCAATCAAACATTATTTGAATACATGATACCTGATTCTTAGAAAATGTTCTCTTTTTTGTGCTATGTTTTGTTGTGTTCCGTGTGGACTTAAACATTTAGGAATGGCTCAGCGCTTGCTGCTGTGACATCATGACAACGACATTAATTAATGGCGCATACGTGGCTGTGATTAGTTACCGAAAAAGAATCCAATAACAGTTCTTTTGAAGTTCCTGTGACGATTAATTCTTTGGGCCCTTGCTTTTACCCTGAGGATTATCTATAGAACGCTCCCTACCTACTTAAATTGTTTCCATAATCTTCGCTGGCATATTATGTACCCGATAAAAGTTAATGAAACCTCTAGGTAGACGTGTACTTGGTGTTCATATGCATTTGCATCTCTACGCTGTTTTTCGTATTGCTAGCTACTTTGATTGTTATTGTTGGTTGTCATATCGCCGAGTCTTTAAGGTTATTTGACATGCGCGGGCATTTGCTTGTATTTTGAGTCGGGTCGGTACGTTTATGCTACTCACTTTATTGCATTCATATAGATGCAAGTATATCTATAGTAGATTCTAATTTGCGCTACCGACACGTATTTTGATTTGTGGCAAATCATCATTATTACTACCAGCACATTTCCAAGAAGTTTTTTATTTGTTCCGGAGCCGAATCCGGCTTATTTCTCCGGTTATCTGCCTTTTACACATTCTGGTGTTGTCAATAGCGTGGAGATACACTCCCTTGGAGTTGAACGGCGATTTTCTGTTCGTGCAATCCAACTTGTCACATGTAATGTGCGCGCCAGGATCTTTGTGACAAACTTCTTTCAATCCATCAACCTAGTAACAGGAACCCTGTAAATTTTCGCACAAAAATGGAAGGCATCTGCGTATGAACGGATTTCTGGATGGTTAAGGAGGGACGATGGAGCTTTTTAAGCATTTCGAAGTGGATTGCAGTGGCTCAATCCCTACGAACGGGGTCTTCGACATTAATGTTGTTTTCTCTTCCCACTTATTGTTTTTGCAGTTTGTGGCGTTGGACTAGTAACGCAGATGAATATTCTGAGTATTTTATCCAGCAATTTGCATAATATGCACTAATATACACCTTCTATGAACATTTGCAATGAGTCAACGCCTATGTGACAACTACGAGAACTGTCAGTATCTTTTACCTTTGTTGTTTTTTCAGGACCACTTAAAGATTTCCAGCCCAATGTAGGTGTTTTTTTTGGTGAGATTCATATTTGGTGAAATCCTTGAAATCCCAATCGACTATTCTAGTAGTTGGTGGTCAAGGTCTTATTGTTTAAGCAAAGTTTTGTCGATTCGTGGCTTGTTTACTTCATGTTACGCGTCATTAAACCACTGTTGCTTGGAGGGCTTTTCATTTTTAGGAACCTTTGTTACCATCTATGTGAATTGGCATTCCAATATATTTAGTAAATGTGAACAGTACGGAAACTCCGATACATAATTTGTGTATCCCCTGTGCCTGCGTTAATCTATTAATCAAAATAACCTCGTCAACGTCAACTTAGTACCACTTTGGCTTTGTTCCAATCTTTTATTTGAAAGACGATATTACCAATAAGGAATGGTGATTTATCCATTTTGCCATTAGTGATTAAGGCCTTTTTGACAGACTCATGATATAGTTTAATTGGTATTTATTGACAATGGATATCAGGAAGATCTATTGGCACACACGCAGCCCCTTTTTAATGGTGCTCTATGTTTTGCCTTCGTACTCAGATAAGACTACTGGGTTTTAGTTGCAAAGCATTTGCCGAAGATGAAGCACAGAAATTTAACATCATGCCTTGGATACTGGCAAATAGGCTGTCGCTATCGTCTAACCCGGCGTTAACATAACCCACATTACATTTTAAGTCGGATTTTGCGCCTTCTTTTCAGTAATTCTGTCAGTGTGTATGTGTGTTGAATAGAGGAAGGAAAAGGAAATTGAGGTAGAGCAAATGGACCACCATTTACGCGGGAACTTTTTATTCACGCACATGCACACAGACACATCAGCTACGATTATCCTTAGTGTCTTTCCCCTAGCCAAAGCCCTTCTACCGCCTGTTTCCTTTTATTTGCATATTCCTCTCCGGATTCCACACTACAAACAAATTAACAACTGTCAGGTGGTTGAAATGATGGCATTCAAATTCGCCGTAAATTGTCACACAGCGAATCCTGATTTATCTACAACAAGAATGTCTAAAGAGAGGGAAAAATTGAATGTTATGATAATTCTTAGCCCAAATACGTAGATATTTTTTTCTACTTTCTCAGGCTCGAATACTAGAGGTGTTATAAATGCACTGCAATAAAAGTGCTTCTCAAATTTATCAAAATCGTCAGTGCTCAGTAGATGCTTTGTGGTTTGGCGCAGACAGCGTAATAGCTGGTTTAATTTAATAGTTATCTTCTACTCCCTTGAAGTACGTTTGGTTAATTTTTAAATTAAAATGTCTCAGTAGTTGGAATAATGGTGCAGAAATCGGTCCCATTCATTGAAGTGAACCGCCTCGCGTGTCTGCTCAAGAATGGGGTTTACCGACTAAGGCGGAGTGAAATGAGCTTACGCTTTGACTGAATACTTTTGGACAGTGAAAGCACAAGTGGGTTTCATCTGAAAAATGCGCTTTTTTATGCCTGCGCATGTGCGTCAGGGTTTGCCACTAGATGGTGGTTGGCTTCATCATATCCGTTCAGTGTGGCAGACTTTGCGTACTTCCAAATCAGCGCTATTTGTTAAGCACAAATTGTGGGCTGTCTAGTAACTGGGCGAAGTGATCCCACGAAAGTGTCTAAAAGAAAACACAACCCAAAAACAGGTCTATTTGGTGTGCCGCCTTGAGTTTTGCTAATGCACACTTTTCCTTCCTTCTGCTTAGACGTAATCTTCTTCATCTACCTCTATCAACGTTGGATCTACCGAATCGATCCTAAGCGTGTGAACGAGTTCGGAGTGAGCAAGGAAATGTTGGACGATAGAAAAGAGGAAGGCAAAGAGGCGGAAGTGACGACTACGGAAGAAGAAGGGGTGGCAAAAGACGAGCAGATGTTGAATTTCACCAACGCCAAAGGTGCTGATAATGCTCCGGAGACGTCAAATAGCAGTGTCCGCCGGCGACGCGGAAAGGCGATTAAATCCACGGCCTCGTAATGTGTGTGCCTCCGTTTTCCTTCTCTTCACCCAAGCCTCACACAGGAACTTTTCTCGTCTACCTTCTCACCTGTCTTGCTTTAAGGACTGGTGTTTGTGCGTGTATCTAAAGTGGTGCTTCTCTACACTTGTGGGTCCCCACTGTTCAGATGGGCGTCTCGTTCCGATCGCCACGTGCACTGGTGGTGGGTGAAATTGGATTTGGTCAAATTGTGCTTGGTAGAGGTGTCTCCTCTTCTGCCTAAGTTGCTTGCATAATTGTCTCTTGTGGGTAGTTTCGGTTGCATTAGTGTCCTATTCTACGGTGATAAACGATTTTCCTGCAGGCTGTATTGTCACTTAGAATGAAAGAAATCTTAAGGGTTAATATCGGAGATTAAGGCGTAGTATAGTAGTGACTCCTGGCGGTTTTGTTTGTGGGTTCGTGGTGTGCTCATAGCCTCAAGTGAGTGCAGCCTGCGTAGAGTTTTGAGCTGTTCAGTTATCGCATTCTTGTTTTTAGGATCAACTAGGGGACAGATGAGCCTGAGTCGAAATCGGTCTTTCGAGACGGCATCAGTCATAAAAGGCCGCCATTCTAAACGCATTACTAAGGGGGGATCTATTTATTGGCGGATACGTGGATCATTCGAAGGTATCAGTAGAAATCCTGTAATTTTACAAACCAATGACACTTCCACGTCATTGAGCAATGCATCTGGAAATTTAAAAGTGTAGCCTTAGATGGTTTACGCTGAGGCCCTAGTGCGCTATCTCTCTGGGTGCGCTATGCGTGTGTTTTGGCACGAAATCTCGGGAACCGAAAAACCACCGTCAACGCTAATAAAAATCACGATCCCACAAAACGTCACAGAGATGGTTTGTTGTGACTGCTGGTGGTCGGAGGCTGGAGTCTTTGAATCATTTTTATTTACTTAGTGAGGGTTATTTGAAATTTGAGGAAATTCATTTTGGCTTAGATGCCATTGTGGAACTTCTCGTAGCATAAAATAAATTATTTTGAGCTGTACCGTCTCTCTTCGAAAAAGTAGTCGTGCATTTTATAGTTGAGGATGGCTGCTTACGCTGCTTTTTAAGCCCTGCCTAGTTTAGTCGGATTCGCGCTAGCTTTGAATAAATTATTTTTAAAATAGGACCAGATGTTGGAGCTGCTTTCATAAGATTATGCATTCGTAACTAGGTGTACCCAAACTTAGATACATAAATACGAATGGGCATTGCACCATTCTACTACTCGAAAAAAGCTATTGTTAAATCAGTCAATTTTGGATGCATTTTCAAATTATTAAGCAAACTGTTATGGAAACAACGATGAAGTGCTCTCACCGTATTAAATTGGCAGCATTTATCCCGTTACCTATTCAATGAGGGCGTAGAAACAAATTCCCAAAACCTGGTTTATAGCTCTAAAGAGTAAATTTTAACTCAGAGAATGGTCCATATATTTAGGCGCGACAATTCAGCTGATGTTAATGAATTATGCTGGGGCCAAGTGATCCGTCCAGGTACGCGTGATGGATCCTCTGTCAACCGTTTCCATAAATAATCAGGTACATTGGACAAAACATGTTTAGGGTAACATGTCAGTAAGGCATGCATATTTGTCATTGTGCGTTCTTCAAAATCCTGGTTATTGAATATTTGTCTCTTGCGTTTTAGCTTGGATTACTTAAAATTAGATCAACATTTACATCTGCACAAAAGTTATAATCGTAGCATTGCAGCAGAGACAAGCGGGCATCTCAGTCAGGAGCCGCTTGTTTTCGATCGTGTTTGCAAATAAAGCCAAACATGTGCCTCGTCTGCTTTTGCAATGTTTCATATGGAACATCTTATTGAGGTGTTGTAAGTTAGTAACCAAACACTGGGATCTAGTCCCTCCATTACCCATGCATGAAAATTTAGCATTAAAGTAATACAGCTATGGCTTGATAATTTCCGATAATACAAGGACCATTGGAAGTCTAAATGTTAAATGATAAAATACCAAGGCCGCATTTGTACTGAGAAGTAAAAACTAACCGAACCTAAAATGTGTCGACCTTGTGAATGGCTTTTCCGACTGCCATATACGTTCAGGGAAGAAAAGCGCAATAGTCACGAAAGAAGGATCCAGGAACATCATGATTAATAAGTTTGGGGGGCGAGGGCTGTACAAATTTTGTGAGACTTATACCGAATAGGAGTATATGAAACGCCGAAAGTGGACATTTAAAAGAATTGGGTTGACTTCTGCTTTCCTAAGGCCTTTTATCACCCATTGATACTGCATAGTGTTTTTGCTATCACTAGTTCATTCTGATAAGATCGAAAGAGAAATTGTTTTGATGGGGAAATTTATGTTAACAATGATTATTTCATTCAGCATCAATAACTTTTTAATCCAATGTATAAGTCAGATTCGCCCCGTTTTTGAACGACTTCCTCTTCTGCACACGATCAATATGCATGAACTATAATTGCCTAGTATTTGCTCTTTTTATTTAGAAAATACGCCACACGAGAAGAAATGCGTAGATGCTACTTCGTAATATTGCAGGACTACGTACAAAATACATGCAAGTATTTGTCAAAACGATGAAACAAATTTTATTTCGAACCGCCTCATTGGTCAATGCTTCCATAGGGCAAGCTCAGTTGACCAATCAACGTGTTGAAACGCTTCTCCCGAAAGCGACAACTCTCCCTTCCACATCTTATTAGAGGAGTTAAACGCGCTCATGATCCCTATATCGCACTCCTAACTCCCTTCATGACTGCAGATGGAGTAAGCACTCTTCCACCCGTTCACTTCCTCTCCTCACTAGACAACGCGACCTATGCACGCCTTAACTTCACCACAGCCTCGCCCGACCTCAACAGCGAGGCATCAGCGGCAAGCTTTCAGTTCAGTTTGTGGGTAATCATTGTCATGAGCCTCACATGTCTCTTTACCATCGCCTTCATCCTCTGCGGACTGTTCAAACGTGCCGACGCCTACCACATGCCACTGACGCCTGAAGGCGAGATTGACATCGCCAACATCGAGGGCCTCGGGCTGCAGGGCAACGAAGGCATGTTTGGAGTCTCCGGGGCTGCCACAGGGTGGATTTGAGTGTGCCGGTACTCGCCCTTTTCAACCCAACATTCTCCATTTTGTATCACAAGATGGTTGAGAAGAAAAAATCACAAACTCTAAGAAGTTTATCACCTAAAGAGATTGAAAATTAACCTGACTTGTGAAAAGAGGTGTTTTACCACTACTTTTGAGTCCAAAAAAGATGATAACCGATCTTACAAATGCAGTAAAATTTGCCTGAAAGGTCGGCATGAAAACAACAAGCTTTGGGTAAATAAATGGAACTTAGTAAGACTTTTACATTTTTACTGAAATTGTTTACAGTTTTCTATGCATTTTAAATTGAAAACGATTGGTAGATGGAAAAGAATTTCGAATTGGCGCCTTTGCTACTTATTCAACGAGCTTCGTTGACACAATTTTAAAACATAATTTGGACCTGTGCCAAAGTTATGATAGAATGTCTCTGTAAAATTACTCCAGTTAAAAGGTAAACACTCCGATTTCGTTCAAAAATCATCATCTTATAAGAATTGAAAGATAATATGGATGAAGGAGAAAGCTTACTGATCTTGTGATGCTTTTCCAAATTGTTGACACTTGATGTCCGGTAAGATAGGCTAGGGGAAGTTGAAAATATTCTTGCTTTAGCGACGAAGGGAAAGCTTCACGCATAACTTAATAAAATCAACATGCGAAGGAACTTTCAGCACTACATAAAATTTACACCCCATATTTTTTAGTTGGTCATATTCTTTCCAATCTAAAATTATACTAAGAATCTTTTGGCTAATTTTCTCGCTTAATCTTTTTAAATTCTTGAGGCAGAGTCTGTTTTAATGCGAAGTCATTTCAATGAATCATAAGAGATTCAAACATAAAATTTAACCACAGTACTAACAAGTGCCTAAAATGATAATGACAAGCGATTTTTTTTATCACAACTTCGAATTATATTCATACGGTCCTAGAAAGCGTTTGCGTGATTGATGGAAATTCGTGTCCCACGTTTTTACAAAATAAAAGGGGTTCTAAATCCCCCAAAATGCATTTTAAATTTAAAATTCAGGGCTGTGCAATATTCTAAAAGGTTCGCTTTAGAGTGCATGACTCTATCGGGGATGGAGATCAAGAGGGGCTCTAGATTTTGATGATGGATATATTTGGTGGCTTGCCTGATAATAATGATAATAAAAATGGTTCAGCTAATCTTTACTTTTACTATACACAATTTATCCTGATGTCTCCCTTTCAAGCGACCCTTTTGCACGAGCAACTAGCACAAAATAAGTCGGTTTTAAATGAGTACTTTTGTTGGACTTTTGCTGTTAAAAAATATTTACCAAGCGGCAAGTTTCCAAGGCTGCTAACTTTAGCTCGATTAATTGCTGAAATCCATTTTCCAATTCCATTAATAGCGCTGCGTTCGGAATATCTTCCGGATTATACTAAGCTTATAAATGAAACCTAAAAGCATCCGTAACAGCAACTTCTAGTTTTAGATCAACGTGGTTAGGTAGCCATCGAAGCATGTAAAGTTGCTTTGTGTGTCATTATTGTTATTATCATGCTGTCGAACATAACCCAGCATATCACAGACAAGCATTGCTGTGAAATATCTCATTTGTTTCCTACGGTACTCCAAATGAGTCGAATGAATGAGATGAATTAGCACAAATTTGCAGAGTAGGTGGAAGAGATTTGGCTCGTATTTTTTCTAAAGAAATATATTTATCATGTGTGTATGCGGAATTTGATTTGACAACGAATCCCATTTCCGCATTAGCTTCCTATATGCAAGGTTTACTGCATTATGGGATACTACTGCAATTCATTCCATTTAGAAGACGGCAAATCATACTTGTTGCTTCAAAATAAACCTATGATCTTAATAACCAATTTTAATTATTAAATGAAAGATTATAAAACCAAAATTTCTAGTTAGGAAGGATATAAGGCACTTACTAGGGCTAAACATAGTAGCAGCATACCTCTGAGTATCAAAACTGAGGTTGTTCCACGAGATGTCCATTTTATTTGTTTTAAAACACAGGTAATTTAATCTTGGCGCCAACCTACTAGGCTTTTATAACTCTGCTATAACAGCACCAAAAATAGCTTATGATAAGCAACTTCGATGAATAAAATGCCTCTAAAGCAACAAATCCTATTTCTTGCGAATGATGAACGGCGGAAAGTGATATTAGAATTAGCTGCTAGTGCAATAGCCGTCTTAGATAACAATCGTTGAAAATTGTGAGATCTCTTGCCTTAAGACGCAGTCATATCGTCACTTGGTAATTAAAAGCTACAGGGCATACGTACCATTCCGTAATTCTTTGATGGTCTGTTCAACTACGTTTGATTACGCGGGCGCTTAGATCTCCGTAGTTTGTTCTTCCGCTCGGTGGCATGGCCTCAGGGCCATGCCAGTAGTCATTAGCTTAACTGGATGTCAGCAGCACATATTCTGCTCGCTCCCTTTGTCTTCGGTTAAGCCTCGGGACGCCACGCTGCAATTCCTTACAGGTTTCAGCAAATAATTTTGCATCAAATGCGGGTTCAAATTGAACCGAAAATAAATATGAAATTATTTTTTTTAACGATAAATTATTGCCATAGTATCACTGCGTCCCAGTACTTTGCTGAAGTTGAATGAAGGCATAATCCTCGGGTGGAATATGCATTATTGGCATACAGTAGGGCTTGGGGCTACTGGCACGACCCAAAGGTCGGCTCACCCTGTTTAGGTACAGTGGCAGGGCACCATTGTAGATGCTGCACCGAAACCGAGAGTTGAGCAAACAATTAACGTTTTACGAATACAATTACTTGTAGTCGTCATATTCTTCACCAAGCCAATTTTTCCTCCACCCGGGAATGCTAACTAGGTAAGAGTAAGTTCGAAAAATTTCTAATTGACATTTAGAGAGAAAATGTACCAGTTGAAATAAGTGCAAAGGATTGCTAAGAAATGTGCTATTCAAATGCAGCTACTTTATTAGGCTTAGTTTAAACGACGCAGATGATGCGAATAATAGAGACCTTCGACTGAAAAATAATAATTTGGCAAAATTCGGACTTTGCTTATACAAGTAAAATTCTTTTACAAACATCTATTTGATTGTTCAGAAGATTTAACTAAATCGCGCTTTTTTGTTTTGTGTTCGAGTGGCAGATTCAGCGTTTAATTACATATTTAATTTTTGGCAGCATTGATAGGAAAATTTGGTATACAAATATGATGCGAATTACAATGTTGTGTAAGCTTCTTAGTATTCTGCCCTTTCCGGATTAAATAATTTTAACGGCATTTTCGTGGACTCTAGTATATAATTACCCGAATCAGGATTACTTCCTTCGAAGTGGCATGGTGTTGCTCAAACAGACTTATTAAGGGCTGTTTCATGAATATGCAAACCAGTAGGAATGGGATATCTCCACCTTTTAATTGATTGGCTTAAATTATGTGAACTGTCTTCAGTCATGGGCGCATGGAGGATCTGTACGGGTTTTATAAATGTTAAGAATTACTTCTCTCCAACCCTTGGAAGTCTTACGCCGTTCTACAAGCAGTGTTTTGATGCTTCACAAATGTTATTTTTGCGAAATTACAAGACTGTCGGACGTCTTCGACTGAGGTGCCGTGACTGCTTTTTTGAAAGGCGGGATAATAGACTATATGTTGAATGCAAGACTTTTGCACGCCACCGGCAGGCGCAGATAATGAGCGAACCTCGAACTCCGTGGAGGTTTCGTCGGAAGATTTGGAAACACGTCAAATGGAATTGATTGTTTCGCGGTATTACTGGCTCGTCTATGCTCACATGCTCACAGCTTCTCTGTAGACAAATGTTTTCTTGTAAGCTTTTGCAAGCGGTGTTTACAAACTCTCGAATTTTAAAATTGCCTTATTTTCTGAAGCCATTTGGAGTATTGAATCGCAAATTACGGGGCCACCACCGATTTAGCCACTGGTATTCCACTACGTAGCCAGTTGTTTTCATACTGGCCTGTGATTTACTGCCGTTTTTCATCAATAGCTGCCGCCGCATTAGCGCCTGCATGAGGGCATCGCGAGATGTCGCATATCTGTTCGTTTCTAGTCTTCATTTTACAGTTTTGAATTAATCCGGTTTAATGGATTTGGGTGGTACTATGGGCTCTTCCAACTCCACTAATCAGTGGTGAATTCCTGGCCCTCTACGATGGGAGGGAAGCTTTACATCCTTTCGTCTGTGCGGTCGTGCCTACCCCGGTTAGAAAAATAATTGTGGAGAGTCATATCCTACTTACCAATGTTCAGTAAAACTGAGTTAGTGGTATTTAGGCTTGTTTAAACGAGATCAGTCTGCCTCATGGGCGTTCCGTTTTTTCGGCGGGGAGTTTTTCATGTTGAGAGCTGGTGTGGGTTTCGGCGTCTGCTTTTAGCTTTCATTTGATGAGCAGCATCTTTGAACGGTCATCTCAGCGTGTGTACACCAAAAGCTGAAATCCTGTCGTTGGGACCCCTGTCGGCACGTCCCCTTAGACACCGCCTTGGTTAAATTCAATCATTATTTCAATTCGAATATATGGAAGACTAGTCAGTGCCACGTGGATACTCCGCTTAATGGTCGGCCCTCACCCTCCAGTGGGAAAGAGTAACTG